GTCTCACTACGTAGATTGGACTCATAGTGATTCTCCTGTTTTTAGCCTCCCAAGTGCTGGGATTACAGGCATGTGCCACCACGCCCAGTCTCAATTGCCATCTCAGTGTGCTCCCCCGCCCGGGGATTGAACCCCCAGCCACTGCGCTCTGCAGAAGCAAGCGCTTTAGTCCGCTGAGCTATCTGGCCGGCCCTCAAAGAGTATTTCTAATGGTTAGAAAAAATACTTCTCTATAAAAACTACCACCCATTGCATGTAAATTTATTCAGCTTCCACACACTAAACATATTTGTACACATTTTACAGGAATACATTAATAACTGGATTTTCAATATAGTGAGGATCAGATACTAAACTATAAGCAGGTATCTAAAGAGAGTATTACGAAGTCTTATTTATGATGCTTTGGGAAGCAGTTCTGCTGCCTCTTGTTAATTTTTGACAAGGTGGCTCAATAGCAAGTGAGGCAGTTGGTCATTTTCCCTAACTACAGGAGGTACAGTGGCTCCTAATTCCTAGGCTAACATTGTTCCATCATTTTATCTGAAAACCCAGAGGGGCAGTAACCCAACCATAGAAGCAACAAAGGATGAAGACTGAGAGACTATGAAGAGGTTGGTGTTGCGATCAAATAATTTAACTTGACATATTTAATAATGTGAATAATCTTTTATGCTTAGCCAGTATGGTAAAGGCAAGATGTTGTAGGTGACTTCAATGAATATTTTTACATGTTAAGATAAGTTACTCCCCTCCTTTTCTTTGGTTTGTTATTAAAAGAAAAAGCAAAAGAAAGGCTGTAGTCTGTTTAATGTCACTTCAATAGCTAGGATTTTTAGATCCCTCTGCCACACACACCAGGAAGTCAAGCGGGTTTTTTCTGCATCTCCAAAGAATCATGTATGGCTTTACTGCTGTTTGGTGGAGGACACATCACTAACATTTCTGAGACAAGCAAGTGGCTAATGTGGATAATTTTTAAAGATTCATCTTAAACCATCAATCTTCAATATTGAAGAATCCGCCTGTATAAATATTTGCTGTACATTGTGTTTATTTCTAAGCAAGTTATAAAGAATATAAAATAGTCTTCATTCATTCTTGCTGGTCAGATCTTCTGCTTGCAAGAGTATTTAGAAGATGTATAGGGGGCTGAAAAATGTCTGAATTCTGAGGCACACTTGGAATTCATTTGCTAGTAGGAGCAGTTAAAAAAAAAGTTCACAGACCCCCCATGGCTCATGTTAAGCCACTGTATAGGAGAAAAAAAGCTTTACCTGCTTACGTAGTATGAGCATGGTGTAGGGAGGGGAATATTGGTTTGCAAGTCAGGAAGCTTGGCTAAAGTTTAGACTTCTAAAAACTTGAATTCACATAATTTGACTACATGACCACATAGGTCTGAGTTTCATCATCTATGAAGCAGAGCTTTATATTTGGGAGTAGTTTACTTCCTTTCAACTCTGTAAGCAGAAAGCTAAGGTTAAGGCTAAGGCATAGAGTGGAAAATCTTGAGCTATATGTTGGGGATAGTTTGACCAAGATCCAGGGATCTTTTCAAAATCATGTTCTAGCTGCTCTTCTTTGCTTTTTATCATTATTATAATAGATCTGTCTGCTTAACAACTGAGAGGGAGACAGTGAAATATAAACAATCTAAATTGGCTTTACTTGTTGTTCAGCCCAAGAAGCAAGTGTTTTCAGTGACTGCTTCCTAAAGATCTCAAGTAATCACAACTATGTATACACACACACACACACACACACACACACACACACACACACACACATATATACATATACATATAGTGTGTGTGTGTGTGTGTGTGTGTGTGTGTACTGGGAGTTGAACACAGGACCTTGCAAGACAGGCGTTGTGCTACTGAGCTATATACGTGGTCCCAAAAAGATTTTTGGTGTCTAGAACATTTCAACTAGAAAGTGGCAAACAGCAGCTGGGTGTGGTGGACCTGTTATCCCATATACTTAGAAGGCAAGACAGGAGGATGCTTGAGTCCAGGAGTTCAAGACCAGCCTAGGCAACAACGTAACAAGATCCAAGGGGGGAGTGGGGAGATAGCTCAGTGGCGTAAGTGCCTACCTGGCAAGCACAAGGTCCTGAGTTCAATCCCCAGTGAACACCCCCTCCCCCCAAAAAAGACCTGATGGGGTGCGATGGAGGAGTGACAAATAGCAATAGCTCTTCACCACTTCCCCAAGACAAACACACAGAATTCTAAAGGCATCTGATGATAAAATGAAAAGATATATTATCCATGTCCTACAACTTTTGATGTTTGTGTTTATCCATGCGAATAAAAGATTAAACTTGTGTTTGTTCTGGATCGACTCATTTAAGCTATCATAGGATGTGCAGCCACTGGGAAAAGTGGGGATTTTCCTTCACTGGCATCTCCCCTTCCTTTTAGGTGTCAGAACACAGTCAATCTTGAAGAAACCCGTGAACTAAGATGTATCAGTGGTTTTCACTCTTGGTTGCCCTTTCCTTCATGAAACTTTTCCAAATACTCTACTGAGGGAGAGTTTCTGCTTCTCAGCGCCCACTGCTCTTCTCCCTGCACAACACCTGTAGAGTTTGCCACATTTTGTATAATTTTTGCATTCCGTCACCACGCCTGTTCTCTGTTGTCTGTTGTAAGGTTTCCTGGGCTCAAATAAACCCTCACCAGATATACACCTTTTGTTGTCTTCTCTTCCTCCAAGAATTTGCCAGCCAGCGCTTCCTGTGAGGCCCAGCAGTTCGCACCTCAACTCTGGAGGCTGGTGGTGGCTTCGGGAGCCTGCTCATCCGTGAGGTGCGCCACTCAGGCTGCGTGTTCTTCAGTTGCCCCTCCTCTTCTCACTCAAAGGCAGTGACTATTTGTGCACAGCACATTTACTGGGCTGCCACGAGGGGCAAGTGACAGAGGCAAGCTCTCCGGAAGATGCACAGCGATGAGTAAGAGCAGCGTATTTCTGCAGCAATTACTGATACACAGTTCTTTCAGCAATTAATCATACATTGCCCTGTGACGTCTCGTACACGATCAGGAAAACATTCTGTAAATCCTGCTATGCTATTTTATTTTTCACTTGTTATTGTCTTTACTCAAATACTTGTCAAACGTCTGTGATGTGACAAGAACTATTTCAGCAAATGAGTTAGAGACGACGAAATGATAGTCACTGCCATTCAGAAAGGTCAGACTGTGGAAGTGGAAACAGATCAGTAATTACGACAGCATGCCAAGTGCTACTGGAATACAAAAAATAAAATAAAGGCTACTCAAATTCTCACAGCATGAAGCAAGGCCTTACTGAAGAGGGGAAAACTCAGGTGTAGAAGAGTAGTATCAAGTGGACACGGTTAAGCAGGGCATTCTAGATAAGGGGACTGTCCGGAGATGTAGAGAACATGGTGCACTCAGGAAACACATGGGTAAAGGCAGCACATAGTCTCCTGTGATATTGGGGTTTACACTGGACTTTATCCTTTGACAAGGAACTTTCCCCCTTTGAAAACGGGGGAAATGTGTAGCAAGTGCTCATTATAAAAAACAGCTCAACATTTGGAGGCATGTATGAAGTAGAAAATTATTAACCACTGGCCATGCCCAGTCATATCCTTAGGATTATTTGCAGGTAAACTAATATAAATGGGTAGAAAGATTATATATAGGCAGGGGCTGGGGAGATGGCTCAG